GGTCTTGAACCCACGGGCTCAGGCAATCCACTCACCTCAGTCTCCCAAAGCACGGGATTACAGGCTGAGCCACTGAGCCCAGCTAAACGATTGCTCGTCGCTGGGTGGGCTCAAAAGGTGACTGAAGTTTACACATGGAAGAATAAACACACAATTTTTTATAAGTAAAATCCAATTTTGGGGGGGTCCCCATCATATGTAAAGCACTCACAACAATGTTTGGTACTTAGTGCTACATTTATGTACCATTCTTATCTGCTGCTGTTGTTGTTGTTACTAATAAATAAGAGAACATGTATGAACCCTCATCCCCCCTCCAAAAAAGAGTGGTTCCAGAGAGCCCAAAAAGGACAGGTGGAAAAGGAGAAAGACATCTATTTGCCGGAGAAAAAAGACAGAACCATGCTTTGAAAGATTATTGGGGGGAGGTAGTTCTCAGTGCCTCAAATGCAGGAGGTCTGATTCATGACTGGACTAGGGCATGAAGGCAAAGAGAGATTCAGGTCAGGATCAAGACCAAGCAATGTCTGCTGGTGCTCTGCAGCTGGCCATCACCTCTCATCAGCCTGTCTCTTCCTCTTCCCTGTGTGGACTCACTCCCTACTCCTCTGCTCTTACTTTAAAAGGCAGACTATTCCTAGGGACTGGTGGACAGGACCATTCCCACGTGTGGGTCCTGGAGAAGCTGCCTGTCTTGCCCTGCCCTGCCCTGCCCTGCTCTGCCCAGGGGAGTTGGTTGCATGATGCATCTGTTTATGGGTGTGCTCAGCAGTGGCTGAGGGGGCATGGGCATCTGGGTTATGTGATACCTTGCAAGCACATGCCCATGCCTGTCAAAGCCTCAGCCCCAGGACTCTGTGCTTCTATGACAGCTGGGTATTTACGACTCTTCGGGGTTCCCAGGGTTGGGGTGGGGGTGGCAAGCAAAGGCAAGTTCCCTGGAGCAAGCAGGGGAGAAGGTTGAGGAAGCAGAGAGATGAAGATGGGGTTGGGGCTCCCTGTCCCATAAACAGGCTGCAAGGGCTCTGAAGAAGACTCAGCACTGGTGGCCCTGAAGAACAAGTTTCAAAGAACATCAAGTGCGATGAAAGAGGAAATAATTCTGAAAATCAGGCAAGAGATCACACTCACCTTAGTCCGCTGCCACCTTGGAGGGACATCTGCACACCCTGGAAGGGATTTTATGTCTCTAAACCTGACTCTCATATTTTGTAGAGGGGAGAGCAGAGACTGGGCTAGGCTTTGTTCCCCCGAATGCCGTGTAGGGGGTGGTGGCAGTGGGTGACTGGAGCCCAGGCCTCCCATTCTCCGCTCGGCACTCTTTTCTCTAACACATGCTCTGTTCACTATGAATCCAGAGGCCTCTGCGTTCACAGGATGAAGTCACACTGACAGCGGGTCCTTTGGACAAAGAGCTTACCTTCTGTGTGTGGCTCAGTCACATGGCAGGAAATCAAGGGATGCATGCAAATCGCAGTGTGTGGAAATGCTCTGAAGGGGTTTGAGCTCAGGGAGGGCATGCAGAGGACTGAAGGCCTGACAGTAGTGCAGGGGGCACCTATAGCCGCATCCTGCTTCATGGACTTGCAGCCCCTGTGGTCACTCCAGGCCCTGGTCCCACAAATCCCTGGTCTGGCGGAGCCAGTTTCTTTCTTGAGCCGTTCGTCCTACCTGTCCAGCTCTCTGCTCTGGGTGCAAAGCCCCAAGCCTCAGCAAGACAGAAATAGCTGAGGACAAATGCCTCATCTTAAAGTCTGGCTCCAGCCACCAGAACCACTGCATGCAATCCAGCTCTCCTTCCCCGGCTGGAAGGGCTGGGCGGCCACCCTGTTCTGAGGCAGAGAAACCTTTCTCACAGAAACTCTTCTGGGGACTGGGAAGGTCAGGAGGTGAGGGGGCCGAGAGTGAATACGTTACCCCCAGGCAGGGTGATGGGTCCGCAGCTCTTGCTGTCGTCCATGGGAATGCGCTTGGTGCAAATCCTCCAGAGGCCAAAGTGGGCCGCCTCGCAGGTGGTGTTATGGTGCTCCATGTGGGGGCTCAGCACAGCCCAGTGGTCAGTCACCACAGCGGCCATGGCCAGCACGATGCCGGCCAGGATGCAGAAGAGGGTCATGCGGACCTTCAGCGTTTTGGTCTGGGACATGGTGGTCACCGAGGAGTTAGAGCTCTGGGCAGGGTCCGGCGGCAGCGTCTCCGGGTGCAGGTGGCAGCTGGGCCGGGGAGGTGACCGGTCACCGGGCCGAGAGTAAAAGCTAAGTTTAGTGTGCCCTCCTGGGCCAGAGTGGGCTGGTCTTGGGAGCGAGGGACGCTGGATGGGCCGAGCAGCTGCCCAGACGTGTCAGGGGCCTGAGGGAGGCTTCTATTAATGCTCGTCTCCAGGCGTGTCACCGAGATGGCGTGTGCTCATGTTTCAGGGCTTTCTTCCCCCTTTGCAGCCAGAAATACTCCAGGGTGGGGCAAGGAGAGAAGACTCAGACTCTAGGTGGTGACTTGGGAGTTCTGTGGGGTGGTGGCTCAGGCCCCTGAGTTGGGGAGCTGGAGGGGCAGGCAGCAAGGTCACCGGGTGTGTGGGGACCTGCCTGTTCCGGGCGGAAGGCAGAAACTCCCGGAGATGCAGGCAACACAGCCTTCCTGGTCTCATGCTGGCTGGCCATCAGGGTGCAGAGGGCAAGTAGGTCCTGACCCTGGGAGTATGAGGGACCCAGGACCCTGGCTGGGGCCAGCCAGGGCCCCCACCCAGGGCCTCTGGAGCCCATCCTCAGGCAAGCCCCACTGTATCCCCAGAACTGCAGGAAGAGCTTAGGCAGCTCTCAGGCTTAGCCCTCTCCAACTCTGAGACCAGGTCCATGAGAACATCACTCCCTCTTCAATTCTCTCTCCATCTCTGGAACGCGGTGCCAAAGAAAAGTCCCCTTCAGGGTAACTGCCTTTAATGCTCACAGACCGCCCTTTGAAATGAAGAGAGAAAGTCCTGAAGAAGACGAAGAACCCAGTTAGGCTTGGCTGCTGCTTTCCTTGTATGGCTTTAGTTCTGCCTTCTTTTAAAGCAGTGGTGTTTTCATTGAAAAAAACAAGTGCATACGAAAAAAGAACAAGGAGGCCAATTTACCAGTGACAATTAGGAAGCGAATGGCACACAGGCAAAGCAGAAAGCACGTGAAAGTTTAGGACCACCCTCCGAGGGTCCTGCCCACCCGCCCCCAGGCTGGTATGCGAGGCACTGGCTCCTACATCCCGCCTGGGTTGTGCCAGCTTTTCTTTCTCTGCTCACCAGGCAACCCTTGTGGGTGTAGCCAAGCGACTGAGCCATGACCACGAACAGGCCCCTGAGCTGGGCAGTGCCATGAGCTTCAAAATCCTGGCCTCAAGTTAACTCCATTGACAGAAAGCCTCTAGCCAAGCAAAGAGAAACATTCAAGCAACAGTTCTGCGATCCCAGATTGTCAATAGTAACAACAGGAATAATGCCCATCTTTGGTGAGTGCTAACTCTCTGTCAGGCACTCTGCTAAGCCTTCACACATCATCGCGGTTAATCTTTGCACCAATCCATGACGTGGTTACAACTATTACTCCCATTTCACAGATAAGACCATGGAGGTTCAGTGACATGAAGTAGCTTGTCCAAGGTCACACAGTAAGTAATGATGAAGCCAGGCTCCAGGACCCAGAGCCCAAGCTCTTAACTGACGGTTGGAGCTGGGAGGAACCTTCAATATCTGTTGGGGGCGATGAAGAATCTGCAGCCCAGAGAACATGTGACAAACCGAGACTCCCTGACGGACAGCACTAGAGCTGAGCTGAGGCCTTGCACCTCCAGCCACAGGCTTGTGGCTATTGCAGTTCCAGTAGGACTTTCGTCTTTACAAAACCAGCCTCCTCATCCAGATTGCTCTCCAGAGAGCTTCTCTCCTTGCCTCCCTGCCCCCCCCCACCAGGCTCCCAGGGAGCAATAATTCATCACAACCAACTGGCTGACACCTGCCACTGCTCCGGCTTCAGCTCAGAGAGCGATCATCTCCAAGTGGTGGGCCATCTTCACAGGAACTCCCAGGAGCTGGGACCTGGCCACAGCCTCTAGGCCCCTCGTGCCACTTGCATGGGCCCAGCTTCAGGAGCCTGGCACCTGTGGCTCTCAGGGTCATGGGCAGCCCAAGACAGACCTACTGAGTACCAGTCACCCACGAAAAGCGACAACCAGGGAGGCAGTATTTTCAGACAGAATATCTAGAAAGAAGTTATGTCATTTTAGCATCACAAGTAAATGTGGTGTCACTTCAAGAAACGCAAATGTATTCGGATTTCCTGGTGTGGCAAGGGTGGGCACCCTAAGCTCTCCAGTGCCAAGAGTCTCTAAAGGTCTTGGAAGCTCCCTCAGCAGGGCCAGCCTGCAGGACACACCCAGTGCCAGCCATGATGACATTTCGAGCCCACCAAAGAAGCCAGGCCTCGGTGGGGCAGGGACTTAGCAACTTCCGCTCCACTTTCCCTCATAGCGGCAGGTCTGTGCCCCACACAGGGGTCCCAAGTCCTCCATCCCAGCGAAGTGAAAGCATCAAAAACCCATGGCCTCTTCCTTTTGATGTTGTCTTTTTGTAGATCGCACCACTAGGCCAGCACCTTCAGGGATTGTAGGGAAGTCTACCTTCTCTTTCCTGTTTACTAAAAACTCCTTCAAACACAACTATTCTACTCACAGAGGCACTGCCAGCTCCCTTTCTGGCTCCCCAAGGACCTGGCGGGGCCCATCTTCCGAGGGCATCAGGACAGACAGCATGATAGGGAGGCAGCGTGTGGGGGGTGGGGGTAAGCAAGCTCGCTGGTGAAGGAGCCAGCTGGTGAAGGAGTCAGCTGTCTCAGGAGCAGTCCCTGCCCTGCTGGTCTCCAGCCGTGTGGCCTCAAGTAAGTCATCAGCCTCTCTAAGCTGCCCTTTCCTTATCTGTAAGATGAGAGCAACAGGCCTGTCCAGAGAGCTGGTTTACGTACTGGAGTCAGTTCATTTGACCAGCTTAGCCCATGGTAGGGGCTACAGGCTGAGTTGTGTTTCCCTCGAATTTGTATGTAGAAGCCCTGACCCCCAGTGTGGCAGTCTTTGGAGACAGGGCCTTTATTAGGTTTAGATGAGGGTGTGGATGAATGCCTGGATTATAAGAAGAGACTGAGAGCTGTCCTCACGCATTTGATAAATCCCAGGACTTGATCTGGCAGAGTACAAAATGGTGTGAGATTTCAATGTTGTGGAAAATCTGAATGGAAGGGGGAATCTCCTGTCCAGTTTTGTTTTCCAGGTGCTGAGACTCACGCATGCCCCAAGATGGCCTTATCTGAGAATGTTTGAAAACATCCAGGTGTTTCAACACCACTCCCATTCCCTCCGGTTCACTCTGCTCTCCCAGGCTCCACATTTCCTGGAAGCCTCTTCTGACTGCTCTGATCCCAGGGAGCATCTCCCTCCCTGTGTGCCCAGGACACTCCTGAAGTCCCCAGAACACACAGGCCAGCCAGGGTCATGGCTCAGCCGGGTGTGGGTTAGGCTCACGCCTGACCTCCTGCCCCACTGAGCAGAGGAAGATGCACTCCCTGTCCTTGAGAAGTCCACAGATGGTTGAGACGGCCGAGACCATCCTAGCACTTGGGTCCTAGCACCCAAGACCGTCAGCAGGGCCTCTTGGGATAGAACTCACCTGAGTGGGGAGGCGTGGAGTGGAGCTCTGGGCAGGACACGAGCCCCAGCACATGGCTGCTGATGCTTGCACGCTGCATCTGCCTCTGCAGACATCTGCACTCAGGGCGGAGTTCTCAGAGCATGCCTGGCACCTGTAGGAGGAGCATGTGCTGCACAAGCGTGGGCATTCTTTCAGACTTTCGTGCTTCTTTCAGTGTGGGTCAGAATGATCAAAACCACACTTTCGTTATCATTATTTCTTTAGGGCAAGGCCAAACTAAAAACGAGGGATTTAAAGAAAGAGATGAGGTCATCAGTATACAGGAGGTGCCTAGGATGTGGCAACTTCATGTCAGCACCCTGGATAACAGATGTTTGGAGCATGTAGCCGTTAGGGAAAGTGCACATACGTTCTGGAAAAGACAGCCATGACCCAGAATCTCACTTTGCAGTTGACTATGTGCCTTGTGAGAAATGATTCACCTTTCTAAGACTGTTTTCCTGCTCGCAGAGCAAAGGAGTTTTATCTACCTTGTGGGGTTATAGTGAGAATACAATAATGTATGTGAGAGCCATACGTGGAGACTGTGATGTATGTTACATTGTAAGATTGGGGGGGCAAGGTGTCCACTCGTGTTGGTGCCCAAGGCCTGGCCTAAAACAGGAGACATCTTGTCATTGAGCAGGCCAGAACAAGAAGATAATAGTGATTATCCCTTACCAAGAGAATTGTAGTTTGACAAGCACACAGAAATCTCTGTTGACTATCCTCCTCGTTTCTGTCACTATGGGAATGACTTTGGAGGAATCTGATATGACAGTGGTTCCTGCAGAATGAGTAGTGGTGGAGCTAGGGGAATATTATTTTGTGGCTGTTCTCGTCACTCTTTCATTCATCCAACATCTGCTGATCACCTTGGCGCTATTACATGAGTAAGACATGGTCTGTCCATGAGGAGCCCACAGTCTGCTGGGAGAGTTGGATATAAACAATCAGTGAGAATTCGCTGTGATGGACAGCAGAGGGCATGCTGGAGACACTGGCTAACTTTATGATAAAGTTAACTGCAGGCCTGGGATGTCCAAATCCTACACATTCCAAAGAAATAACTAGAGTTCAACTGGCCCCTGAGAGATAATCTCCAAGCCCTTGGAATATCCTACCTGATAAAAGTGCTTTTGCATAGCTGGAATCTTGAGCCACACCAGTTAGTTTATGCCAACAATGTGATTTATGAAGAGGGCCCTGGACCATATTAGATAGTCTGACTTCTGAAATGGTGAACCGAATACTTAGTAACTAAGGTCAGTCACATGGGCACAGAGTGACTGGCCCTCAATTTAAGAAACATGAACATGAAATCTCACCTCAGATGAACTTCCCTGGTTGGCAATACTTTGTGCATATTGTCACACATTGTCATGGGAAGAATTAAGCTCTGTCTGATCAACTCCATTGGGAGAGATGACTAAAAGCTCATGACTGGTCTCCCTTGGACTCTGTCCTGTGCACCCTTTTCCTTTGCTCATTTTAATCTGTTTTCGTTCACTGTAGTAAACTGCAGCTGTGAGTATAGCAGATTTTCAGAGTTCCG